ATCCAATAAACACCCCTAATCCCCATTTATCAGGGAGGCAGATTTGAGATTTATTTTCCCATCTCCTCATTTGGCTGCCTTGTGAGTAAACCCTTTCTCTGCTGCAAACTCGTCATCTCAGTGATTGGCATAATCATGAAGCAGGCAAAGCAAACCCTATTGGGCAGCAGTGAGAGAGCTCTTTGCTGAATCAGATAATTTCAAATACTGAAAGAACATTTCCTCAATTTTTTGTGCTATTCCCAACGTAATGGCTACTGACACTACACACTTTTAAGTTTATTCTGCATTACTAACATTTTCTCTACTACTTTCTTAAGCCTAATTAACTGACGAAACAATAAATGAGCCCTGATTTGTATATAGAGCTACCTGCTTTGTAGGAGAAATTCATTAAGTCTATCTTTACTTTCTAATTGATACGGAATATCTATGACCCTAGTGGCTTTGCAGCTTTCTTTGGATATGTAGCCCAGCCTTATCCACAGCATTATCAGCTGCTGAAATCCTTCTTTTGCATTATCACTCACTGTCTCTAAAGAAAATTTTTGAGTTAGTGCTACTTGAATAGCACTTCAAGGGAAGACAAGATATACACATTAAAACCTGGGGGGAAAAGTAAAACCCACTGAAAGTGAGAGTGTAGGAATAGATTGGGAACGCAGAGAAGAGAAAGCTCACTGCTGTCTGGCATAGTCACACTTGAACTGGAACCTAAAGGCAGCCTGGCCCTTGGCCTGATGGCAGGACGAGAATGGCGGTGTGGAGGGAAGGAAAGAAGCATCAACGTGGGAGGGACAGTGGAAAGTAAAGTTGGCTGAATAAGGTGAATGTTTAAAAAGACCAGATTGGGAAGTTTGAATTTGATCCAATAAATAAACAAAGCCATTTTAGATCTGCGTGCGAATGAGCAACAGAGGAATGATGCTGAAGCAGAAGTCTGGTAGCATCCTCAGGACAGGAATTTTGGAAGCTAATGCAGTGGCCCAGGTGTAAAAAGCAAGAAGCAACAAATCATCAGTTCCCCAGTGATCAGTGGTGAGTCACGTTGACGCCACATATCCCCAGATATGAATATGATGAGGACGCACCTCACCTCTGTGACATTCTCCCTAAAAATCCATAACCTCGGTCTAACAATGAGAAAACATCAGACAAACCCAACCTGAGGGACGGTATACAAAAACCAGTACTCTTCAAAAGTGTCAAGGTCATGAAAGACAAAAAAAAAAAAGACCGAGAAATTGCTACAGATTAGAGGAGGCTAAAGATACACGACAAGCAGATGCAGGGTGGTACCTGGATTGGATTCTGGAACAGAAAAAGCATATTGGTGGTATAACTGGTGAAATCCAAACAAAACCAGTAGTATAGTTAATAGTCCCAATTCAATGTAGATTTTTTAGCTTTGATGGTTACATACGCTGTTAACATTAGGGGAAGGTGGGTGAGGGGTACGCCGGAAGTCTCTGTACTACCTTTCAACTCTTCTGTAACTCTAAAATTACTTTAAGTTAAAAAAAGAAAACTACCAGTTTCTCTACCTGCTTCTAGCAGGGTGCTGAAAGGTGGGCAGGACAAAATCTGGCAGGGTAAGGATTAGAGGGTGTTCCAGAGGAACAGGTCTTGTATGACCCCAGGCTCTGCTGCTCCCAATCTGTACGGACTTTCCTGGACAAATGATTTACACTCTCTATGATGGTTAATTTTATGTGTCAATTTGACCAGCCCACAGGATGCCTAGATAACTGGTTGAGCAGCATTTCTCAGTGGATTTGTGAGGTTGTGAGGGCATTTCTGGAAGAGATTAGCATTTGAATTGGTGGACTGAGGAAAGCAGATGGCCCTTCCCAATGTGGGTGGCCATCATCCAATCCACTGAGGGCCTGAACAGAATAAAAAGGCAGAGGAAGGTTGAACTCGCTCTCTGCCTGACTGCTGAGCTGTAACATCGATCTTTTCCTGTCCTCAGTGTTCCTCGTTCTCAGGCCATCAGACGCAAACTGGAATCTGTGCCATTGGCTCTCTGACTCTTAGGACTTCCAACGACACTAGCAGATTTCCTGGATCTCCAGTTTGCAGATGGCAGATCGTGGGACTTCTTCGCGTCTATAGTCACAGGAGACTATACCTCATGGTAAATCTCTTACATGCGTATATCTGATATTGGTTCTATTTCTCTGGAGAATCCTGATTAGTACCCAATTTAAGCCTTAAAGCACACATCTTTAAAACAGGGCTAGCAAGGACAGTCTTTTCTACAATTAGTGCTGGGAAAACTGGATATCCACATGCAAAAGAATGACTTTGCACTTTTATTTTACACCATATACAAAAACTAACTCCAAATGGATCAAAGACCTAAACCTAAGAGCTAAAACTCAGAAAAAATATAAAAGAAAGGATACCTGATATTGGATTTGGCAGTGATTTCTCAGATACGACACTAAAAGCACAGGCAACAAAAGAAAAAATAGTTACATCAAATTTCATCAAAATATAAAACTTTGTGCATCAAAGGGCACTATCAACAGAATGAAAACGTAACCCGTGGAATGGGAGAAAATATTTGCAAATCATATTTCTATAAGGGATTAATATCTAGACTATATAAAGGCTCCTACAACTCAAAAACAACAAAATAATCCTATTAAAATATGGGCAAAGGACTTGAATGGACATTTCTCTAAGTAAGATAGATAAATAGCCAATAAGCACATGAAAAGATGCTCAACATCACTAATCATGAGGGAAATGTAAATTAAACCACAATGAGAAACCACTTCAAACCTCTTAGGATGGTTTTTAGCAAAAAAAGAGAAAATAAGTACTGGTTAGGATGTGGAGAAATTGAACCCTTTGTGCATTGCCAGTGGGAATGGAAAACGGCTCAGCCATTATAGAGGAAAGTATGGCAGTTCCTCAAAAAATTAAACATGGAACCACCATACGATCCTGCAATTCCACTTCTGAGTATAGACGCAAAACAACTGAAAGCAGGGACTTGAACAGATATTTGTACACCGTGTTCATAGCAGCATTATTCACAACAGCCAAAAGGTGGAAACAGCCCGTGTCCATCAACGGATGAATGGATAAACAAGATGTGGTATATACATACAATGGAATATTATTCAGCCTTAAAAAGGAAGGAAATTCTGACACATGCTACTACACAGATGAACCTTGAGGATGACAAATAAAAATGGCAAGTAATAGGCTATATTGGAGTATATGAGGAAGCCATTTTGTGTAAACCTAATTCGGCCTGACCTTGTCTTTCCAAAAGGGCCTGACGGAGGCTGTTGAGCATGCATTGTATATCTGCTTTAGAGATTCCCTATGGCATGAGCAAAGGCCCTTGAGATAAAGGTGCAACTTCTCTCCCCCTCCCAACGTTGGCATCTCCTTAAAGATTAAGTATCTTTCTTTAGGCTGGGAACCGATTGCAGCGCTCATCTGTGACCGCCCAGCCCGAGGCAACACACCTGCCACACCACGGCGTTCACTGAGACAGCAGACCTATCTGCTGTTTCCATCAATCGCTGTGCTGACAGAGCAGCCTCGTGACTATTGTAAAAGGGACATTTCAATCGTATGTGAAACATCCTCTTTGAGGGTATATAACCACCCTGTGTACCCCCGCTTCTTTGGAGTGCTCTGTTCCTTTGTGGAAAGACTCGCCTGGATTATAATCCTCAGATTTAAGCTCAGAATAAACTCACCCAAATTTTCATTTATAGATTGGTTATGGATTATTTTTTGTCGACAAGGACATTATGATAAGTGAAATAAATCAGTCACAAAAGGACAAGTATTATATGATTCCACTTTTATGAGCCGCCTTGTGTCGTCAGGTTCATCGAGACAGAGAGCAGAACGGTGGTTGCTGAGGACTGAGGGCAGCTGCTGCTTTATGGTACAGAGTTTCAGTTTGGGAAGATGAGAAAGTTCTGGAGGTGGTTGGCGGTGATGAGAACATACTTAATGCACTAAACTGTCCACTTCAAAATGGTTAAGTGGTAAGTTTTGTTATGTATATTTCATCCCAAAAAGCTTAAAAAAAAAAAAAAGTAACCGGACTGACGATGCATTTTGGAGAAGTGTGAGGACTACGTGTGCTGTTCTGGAAAGCACAAATCATGGGACACCTGATAGGGACTCCAAACTAATCGCTTCTCCTTCCCTTCCCAAACCTGCTGGATGACCGACAGCACTCGGGAATCACTCCGTTATACAGAGGGAAAGCCTGCAGCAATTTCACATTCGATTATAACGATGATTCGTTTATTGTACTCCACATTTCTGTTATTGCCTTCCCTGCCAAAAGCTTTGCCTCAAAACACACCCACCCCCTAAAACACACAAAGACCCCATCCTTCAAACGCTAAAACCTCAAAAATAGGACAGAGAGAAAAAATGCCTAGAAAAGCAACAGAAGGCATCATCACGTTCTCATAGCTGCTGATTTTACTCCGCAGGGTCCGTTTGAGTTTCCATGAGCAACAACAGCACCGCTGCTGTTTTATCGCTAATGTTTTAATCGTGAGTAAATGCAGGACTGGCTTCGAACGATTTCTTAGCTTCTGAGGTTCTGCATCGAAACAACGTATACTTGGTGCGTTCTCAAACTGGAAAGACAGCAGTCGGCCACATCTCAAAGGCGTCTTCGGCTCCACAGCCCAAAGAGCAGAGTGCGCCTCTCTCTATTCCTGTCTCCCTCTCATCTCGCCCATCTTTCTTTCCAACTCCTCTCTTTTCCCTCTTTCTCTCTTGCAAGTGATGAGCTCGCGCAACCACAAGCCCAACACAAATCACGCATTCTTCTTGGGAAAGATTAGTGCCTCAAAAGAGGCGAGAAGCAGCGAGGCCCCACCCACGGGGTGGACCCTTCGACTCCTCCCTCGCGCCAAGAAACAGCAGCCCCCGGCCGTGGGGTCGCGGGCGCCCAGGCTCCGCGCTCCGGCTGGAATCGTGGCCGGTGGCCGCTCCCCGCTGGGAACAACCTCCGCACTGTTCTTGCAGGGAGCGGGCGCCAGCCGTCTGCCGCCAGCCGCCAGCCGCGCCGCAGCGCCCGGGGTGCCAGGGTCAGATCGGGTGACCGCGCAGGCATGCGCCTGGCCGTGGAGCCGGCCTCCGGACAAAAGGAGGGCGCGTCCCGGTCCCGGCTCCGCCCCGCCCCGCCCGCCGGCCAGGGCGCGTATCTCGGGCGTCCGCCGCGCGAGCGTACCCGCCGCCACTCGCCGCCACTCGCCCGACCCGCCTGCAGTTGCGCCCGCTCCACGCGGCGCAGCCATGTGTCCCCGAGCCGCCCGAGCGCCAGCGCTGCGGCTCCTGGCGCTGGGCGCGCTGCTGTGGCCGGCGGCCGGCGCCTGGGAGCTCACCATCCTGCACACCAACGACGTGCACAGCCGGCTGGAGCAGACCAGCGAGGACTCGAGCAAGTGTGTCAACGCCAGCCGCTGCGTGGGCGGCGTGGCGCGCCTCTTCACCAAGGTGCAGGAGATCCGCCGAGCCGAGCCCCACGTGCTGCTGCTCGACGCGGGCGACCAGTACCAGGGCACCCTCTGGTTCACCGTGTACAAGGGCGCCGAGGTGGTGCACTTCATGAACGCCCTGCGCTACGATGCCATGGTAAGAGGGCGGCTGCCCGGAGGCGCGGGAGCCCCGGCGGGAGGAGTCCCCGAACCGAGAGAGAACCCGGGTGAAGGAGCAGTCAACGGCATGGCACGGGGTGGCAAGCCTAGGACCCGGGCGCACAGTGATGTGGGGAGAAAGCCAGACTCTGGCCAGTGTGCCATGTGGATGCAGACACAGAAGTCCCTTGGGTGATTTGTCCTAAACAGACTGATGTCGTGGGGCCCCTACTGTGAGATGGGGTGTTTAGAAGAGCGGGACCCAGCCCTGCCTACTAGGGGGTTCAACTGGGATTCGTGGGAGCGTTGGCAATTATCCAGTGCCAGGGACCGAAGTAGACCTGTCGGGCATCTCTCTCATTCACTGCTCCGTCTTTGGAAGAATGCTTTATCTCTATCTTATCGGAAGAGAAACTCTGGGTCAAAGAGGATCAGTACATTATCCAAGTCATCAGCTCCCAAAGATAAGAATGGACGCCAGATCCCTTTGACCCCAGAGCTGGTGCATGCTTAATCAGCTCACAGCGTTGGGGTAGACTGGCGGGGTTCAACCACCTTCTGTGTGTGGGTTACTTCCTCTGTCTCTGCCTTACTTCCAGCCCCTATCAAATGGGAACAGTAATTATGTCTACCCTCAGAGGGTTGTCTGACACACAGTTTGGACTCTGTAAGTGTGAGTTCTTCTTATTACCAGACACTACTGTATAGGTTTAAAAAATGAAAGCAGGTTCCAGAGAGGACCAGAATGTAGAAAGAGTGGGGTTTGAAAGGATTTCAATAAAATCAGTTTGGCAGCAGAGATTTAGGAAGAGAGTCCAACTTAAGAGATGAGAGGCTCTTAAAACATGTGCAAGAGTTTAAGTTCAAGCTTCCAATTGCTCTGATAAAGGCGATGCCTTTTTGTTCAACTAAATTCTAGAAAAGGAGCAGAGAAGGGTTACAGAGTAATAAATAAGTGTGACCAAAACATATATATGGTTTGTTTGCTTTTTTAAATCAAACCACCACCCAAGTTTAATCCTGTGTGAAAGCCTAAAGTAAAGGGATTTTGTAGAGAAACCGGGGACAAAAAAATCCTAGGAGCTTCGGAGGAGGAAGAACAGAGCAGGAGTCCAGGGAAATCTGAGAGAGCCACGTGTGTGGAAGGAAGATGCGTGGTCCTGGCCAGGATACAAAGGGTTGACGAGGCCCTTGGTATGGGAAGAGAGTAGAGGTCAGCAAAGCGCAATGCTGCATTTTTTCCGCTGGAAACTTGGAGGGAGGAGGACAGGAAATGGTAAAAGAGTAGAGCTGTTTGGTATTTTCCCCCGACAAGAAAGCTCATTTTAGAGAGATGAGAGAGGGGCAGAGAGCTCCTCTCCCTTCCGATTGTTGGTTTTAAGGGTATCAGGGCTGCTGAAAGCAGCAGCGATTCAAACAGATCCCTAAGCCCCAGAGTTCATCTGCAGGGCTCGCTGGCGGCCGGCCTCTGCTGGCGGAGTACCTATTAATTGAATTGTTACTAGCCTACCTACGTTTCCGTTTCTTCCCAGAAGAGTAGAATAAACCTTCCATGTTTGTTTCGACTTCAATACACCACAACTTTGTAAACTTTTCTTTTTGCGACATCCTTTTCTCCACGGTTATATAAACTCCTTTTGGTAGGAAAAAAAAAATGGAGAATTCTTAGTTTTTCCTAATAATGATATTTTCCTCTTGAAGTCCAATTGAGCTCATGGCGTTAATCATCGCATCAGGTGTTTCTGACAGTACTCCCGGGGAGGCAGATCAGCTACAAGTTACAGCCCATCACCCCCAGGAATGTTAACTATACTTTTTGTTGGATGGAATTACTTTCTTTTAAATTTTGCTTAAAATAATTGGCCTGAGACCCGAGATAAAAATGGGCTAATTATATATAGCTGACAGAAGGTAAAGAGAGGGCGGAGAGCCAGTGGTGAGGCTGATGGCCATGCTCCTGATAGCATCTCTGTAGTTCTGGGGTTTGACAAACATGACTTGACCTGCATGAAATCATCGTGCTTGTAATACTTTAGCGTGTGCTAGCGCTCTGCCCTCTTGTTGTACGGAGATTGTTCACTTTTTGCTTATGTTAGCCCCCTCTCCTGGAATTCACTGCTGTTCTGCTATAAAGCTTCCCCCACCACACCCATCCACCCGCCGCGTCTTGAATCGCAGGAAGCTGGAGAGTCACATCACAGTGGAAAACAGCTGTGGAGGGGCATCTCCAGTTCTCCAGAAACTAGACATCGTTAGAGGAGCCACATCTAAGGACTTGAGGGTGTAGAGGGCAAAGAGGAAACTCCTAGAATCTAGCTTAACTCCAGGAGCACTAGCCTCTGAGGAGGTCCAGACTTTCTAGCCCTGCATGTCCCAAGGATTGCTGTGGGGTCCTTCTGAGAGGCAAGCCTGGAGACCCCCAGACCCAGCTCCTGGAGGGAGGATGTCGAAAGTGCTAGTTGGGCAGCCAGCCCCGTGGCCAAGTGGTTGAGTTTGCACTCTCCACTTTGGTGGCCCAGGGTTTTGCTGGTGGGACCCTGACATGGCACTGCTCATCAGGCCATGCTGAGGCGGCGTCCCACATACCACAACCAGAGGCACTCACAACTAGAAGATACAACTATGTACCCGGGGGCTTTGGGGAGAAGAAGAAAAAAAAAAAAAGATTGGCAACAGATGTTAGCTCAGGTGTCAATCTTTAAAGAAAAAAAAAGTACTGGTTGGTATAGCTGTCTAGATGGACTGGTGTCGTGTCCCCTGAGGCACCAGGAGGACAGCCTGGATGCCCTCACAGCATGAGCTCGGCCAGCTTGCTTTCTCTGAGCCTCGTGTTCCTGAACTGTACAACAGGGGGGATCACGCCCAGCCCACCGTGTAGGATTTTTGTGAGCCATACATGCGATGCGTGTAAAATTCCCTAGCACCCTGCCGGCTCGTAGTAAGTGGTCAGTGAAGCTTCGCCCTGAGCGCCCTGCCAAAAAAAAAGGTTGTGAGGAAGGGAAGGCCTGGTTTTGCGGCCGTCAGTTTATCTAACTCTTACTGGTCAGCCACGCTGCCTAAACTGTTCTTAGTGTTTACTCACTGAGTGGACGTATGAAATCCCCCAAAGCACAGAGTCCAAGGGGATTCATTCCCAGAGAGGGGATGCTTGCCATCGACGTGGGCTGTGAGGAAGACAGCTTCAGTACAGAAGGGCGGCCTGTTTCCGGCAGGCCCTGCATCTGAGGCCCTGCGCCTGAGGCCCTGGACCCTGAACCCACTTTCTGTCCAAAAGCCTGCAGCCTTATTGACCTCAGCATATTGCTCCCAGCGGCCTGAGCCAGGGGCCAGCCCGGCGTAGACCATGGCCCTGCCTTGAACTCCCCCAGGGACCATTAGTCAGATCTCCTTTGTCACATTCCCCTCTTTCCACGCAGGCAACCACGCTAATGTGCGTGATGTTGATGTTTTGTTTCTGTGTGTACTGCAGAAACTTTATTATTGTTTTAGGTGCTTTTTTTTTTTAGGAGGATTAGCCTTGAGCTAATATCTGCCGCCAATCCTCCTCTTTTTGCTGAGGAAGATTGGCCCTGAGCTAACATCCCTGCCTATCTTCCTCTGTTTTATGTGTGGGATGCCTGCCACATCATGGCTTGATAAGTGGTGCAGAGTTTGGCACCTGGAATCCAAACCGGTGAACCCTGGGCAGAACGTGCGAACTTAACTGCTGCGCCACTGGGCCCACCCAGTGCTTGTATTTTTAAATTATGTAACACGTCGTGTTACTCAGCTCATTCTGTTTCTTACTTTTGTCCCAAACTGGTGTTTTTACAATTTCTCCATGCTGCTCTGTGTCTACCATGTGCGTGTACTGTGCATCGTGCCCCCTGTAGGTCCCACATGTGAGGATGTCTTTGGGACTCATCCCCAAGGGCAGAATTGCTGGTCACAGGGATGGGGCACGCACTTGGATGAAGGACTGCCCGATTGCTTTCCCAGAGCCTCTGCGCTCCCGCTCACACCCACACAGTGTGAACCCCCATGTCCTCCCCCATACCTTCAGTATTATCCAGCTTTGCGGTAGGTGCAAAATAACATCTTCTTATTTGGTCTTGTATTTTTCTAATAACTAGTGAGTTTGAGATGTTTGTTAACTTTTTGGGTTTCCTCTTCCCAAATTGCATGTTCATATTCTTTGCTCTTTTTTTTTAAACTTCTTTTGCTCTGTTTTTCGTAATTTTCAGGAGTTCCAGGCATTGGTCTGTGATCAATTTTAGACAATGCAGATAGCTTCTGATTATGTTATGTCTATTAACTTTGTCCATAGTGTCTTTCGTTGAACAGAAATCCTTCATTTGGTATAATCAAATTAATCTTTTTTATTTTTTGCCTTGTGGTTTGTGCTTTTGAAGGTGTACATAAGAGTTTATTACTTTGAAGCTTATCCTCCCCAGCACTCATCACCAGAAGTTCAGAAATTGGCATTGTTCTCTCTGCCTTCTGAGAGAGAATTAGTCTGTAATCTGAGGCCGTGACATTCACCTCTCTGGGTCACTGGTTCCTCGTCTATAAAACAGGAGGTTTGAACCAGCTCATCTCTCAGCTTCCTCACGTCTCTAAACAAATGGCATCCTAAGAAGGGTTTTCATTCCATTTCAACTCAGTGAAACGTTTCAATTCAGGGAAGGGCCAAGAGGACGGAGCAAAGGTGCAGAGGCAGGAATCTGCAAGATGGCCCAACCTGGACCAGAGCCAGGTGGCAGGAATCATGGGAGATGAGGTTGTGTACTGCTTAAAGGCCGCCATGAAAAGTTTGGGCTCTCCCCTGTTGTCATGGGGAGCCACAGAGGTTTCTGAGTAGAGGGCAAGTGTGGTGTAATAAAAAATAAATATTTCATCTTTGTCCCCAGTTCCTGGCAAACAGCTCCCCAGACCCTTGGAATCTCCCCAGTGATAAGTGTCTTTTGTATACTAATGAGATAATTGACCTTAATAAAATCCCTTCCTGAGTTCTGTGAG